GCTTTGCTTGAAGCCTCAAGATCATTCTGTCCGACGTTCAGTGCCCATTAGCGTTGCCAATATGTTGCATTTCCCAACCCAAGTCAACTTTACAGATTTGCGGTGAGGAAAGCCAAGAGAAAATCACTCCAATACTCCCGTTCTCAGAATCAAAGGTGTCAACAAGCACAAGTGAGACCATTACTTGCCACTTCAAAGCAATCAAGGCCTATCAAGGACTTAAAGCGCGCAAGTAACAAATGATACATATGCGCCCGGACTTCAAGCAAATGCTGTCAAACTTCCCGTGTCCCGCTGACCAAGCTCCTGCGCCAGGCTTCTTTATAGTTGTTCGGACTTGTTTGTACGCACTCACCCCCCCCCCCGACCCGCCGCTTCTCAACAGGGTCGTCAAGCGCCCATCCAGTGCCATCCAGCCCGCCCTCGCGCGGCCTTTGCTTCGCCTCCACTCCGCCTCCGCTAGCCTGCGCCGCGCCTCTGTGCTCCGCCCTTGCAGCGCCTTCCAGCTCCGCTCCGCTCCGACGTAGAGTGAGCAGCTCTGGCTGCAAGAGTCTGCGCAAGTTCTGCGCGCAAGTTCTCTGCGCTGATCTCTGCACAAAATCCAAGTCTCCCCGCGCTAGACTAGCTCGGCGACCTTCATCCACGGATCGGCTTGCTTGGCAGGACGTCCTTCGCATTCTCAGCGTTCAGCATTGTCAGCTAACGGGGCGCTCAAAGTTTCAAGGTGGCCCGAACTTTGTTCGCGACCTCGCGGGCGCTGTCTCCGCATTCGGCAGAGAAGCCAGATTTGCAAGGCAAGGTGGTCAGGCGCAGCCTCTGCAGGAAACCGGAGGCAATTGCAGCCTTGCCATGCGGCTTGCGGCGGCAGAAGCGAGACTGCGGGAGGTGGCAACGTCGGGGCTGCCACTTTCCAGCACGTTTGGCTTGCGGCGCGCGAACGCAGGAGCCCAAGACCCGTCTCTACATTTGCGAGCCTTGTCCCCCATCAATGCGGCGCGCAATGTTCGCGGACTGGCAAGCACATGCGCTCAAGACTGCCGGCTGGCTTAAGCGTCGAAGCTGCAAGCGCAAATCTGATTCACCCGGTCTTCTTCCCAAACCCCTACCCCTTCCAGGCCAGGAAAGGCCTCCCAAACAAATCGTACAAAGGGTGATGGGTGATGCTCACTGCTCCCATCTTGACCGCTTCAATGGGACCAGAGACAAACTCAGCAGGGTCTTCTTTCCCGCTGATTACCCCAAGCCCGTTCCTTGGCTGTGGCTTCGCTAGATGGTAGGTAGGGACAGTGTGAATCTTGTTGAAACATTCAGGCGTGTCACTAGTTAGATGGCGAGGCATTTGGCTACAGTAAGAGAGTCACGCTTGAATGAATTTCATCACTTTGACATTCAGAGCGCTGGGCAGAAATCACACTGCGCTAGCACCTTCTACAGCCATCGCAATGCATTGTTTCAACTCAACAATGGGATGGTCGTTCGCTGCAGGGAACGCCCCCAAGTCCGGCAGTCCTCGCCATGCAAGATCCCACTCTCCACCGGAGGCGTCAACATGCCCCCGGAACTCTCACAAAGAGAACTCCTTTCGAGCCAGGCAAGAGGGATGAGCGGCGGCCCAACCTTGCACAAGATTCAATTCAAGGTTGCGATGCGAGTGGCCGAATCGTTTTGCACCATCTAGCGTTAACTTTCTCGCTTCCACAAGCAAGGGCTTGAGCTCAGCTGTGCAAGCACGAAGCATGACAAAACAAATGGCTTCACCATCCCTACGGTTGCAACCGCTTCTGCACAGCCACACAACGTCAAGAAGGCCACCTCAGCCCCCAGCCGATGAGGGCAGGTATTGTTTACATGTACATATATTAAAATCTACAGACTGCTACCCAGGCCCCCAAATCTCCCAACTATATATTGGAACCAAAGGGGGGGGGGGCCATTTGGACGACAACCAAAGCGGAAAGTCTGGGACCCCGAGAACCCTACTAGTACACATGTCTTCTCTGAGAAAGTATGTGTATCTTGTCCTTCGGGCTCTTCCGTGTTTCTTATTCGATGGAAAGGGGCATTCAACCAGCGACATTCAACCATATGCAAATGTTTGCTTCTCCAAAAAGGTTACGAGGAAGGACCCATCCTGGCTTGGTTTTGAAATAGAATATTTTGTACTTGCCAGCTTCTTGGGAAGGTTGTCTGGTCAAGTTCGCAGAGCTGATTTGCGGCAAAGATCGAAAGTGCCCAAACAAGTGCCCCACGACTTGCCGCTGTGGAACAGTGTACGCGGGATCCTTCAAGGAGTCATCAGGGAAGTGGGAGGTCTCCAAGCGTCCAGATGATGCAGCTAGGGAGGCGACGCCAAGCACAACAGTTGTTTTCATGCTTGCGCCGGTCCTCGTAAACTTTGCGACGTCGGGAACATGTCGCTGCAGGTCGGGCACAAAACTCACGGTCACCCCCCTTGGTGGCTATGGCACCCAGCTCCTTCTTTTGGCTAACCAACAGCTTGAACTGTTACCACATCAGTTTTGAAGGCAGCACAAACGGGGGGTGAGACTGCAAAGGTATTTGATCCCCCACTCATAAGGGGTAATGCATATATGCACTCTCGAGGGCCCCCCCCCCTCCACATTCGCGCCCTGAAAAATGGGGCAGCTTTCTATGTCCACACTTGCGCCAGGCGATGCACCAACAAAATCCCAAACATATGTGACTGCGCCTCCTCTTGTTTGGACGGTGCCCTGTTTTGGTGGTTGGTTGGTTGTTTGGTTGCGACTCCGAGCAAGACATTTCAACCACGCGTGTGTTCTGCGCAATAGACTTTGACAGAAAACAAGACGAACTAAAGTTTGAACCTTTGGCGCCCAGATCTGCCGGCCAACAGGCCGCGATCCGGCCGCGATCCAGCCAGGATAACAATGATTTCGCCGGTGGAAACGTCTCGTCGCCAGTATGTGCAAAATCTGCTACTGGCCACGGGGGGCGTAAGTGGGTTTTTGCGCGGCCCAGAATCTGCTTCTGGCCCCAAAAGCACAGAGCGCCGGCACAGCGATGCAGATAGCGCACGCTGAGGCAGGCGGCAATGTGCCACGCGCAGCTTTCCACATCCTCGGCGCAGCTCTTCAATAGCCGGGGCACAGCGCGGCTGTCAACACCCCAGGCCCAGGCACAGCTTCCAACTGCAGGCCGTTTCCAACAACGCATGCGCTGCTGTCAACAGGCCTGGCGCAGCTTTCAACAAGCGCAGCCCATCAACTTGCAGAGCTGTCAACACGAGCGCAGCCCATCAACTTGCAGAGCTGTCAACAGCTCAGGCACAGCGCACGACAGCCCAGGCGCAGCTTTCAACATCCCAGGCACAGCAGGCAACCGCCAACCAAAGCGAGCAACCGCCCAGCCACAGAGCCACGGCCGTCGATATCTCAAACATCGCTGTCAACAGCCCAGGCCAACCTTTCAATAGCCAAGGCACCGCGATCAACATCCCAGCTTTCAACAGCAGGCAGCCGCCAACCAAAGCGAGCCACGGACATCCCAAACATCGCTTTCAACAGCCCAGGCCAAGCTGTCAATAGCCCAGGCACCGCAACCAACATCCCCGCAGCTTTCAACATACCAGGCACAGCTTCCAATAGCCCAGGCGCAGCTTCAACTGCCCAGGCACAGCATTCAACATACCGGGCATGGCCTGCTTAAAGATGCACGATTTAAAATGCATAAAGCAAAAATGCACGGGGCACCTGGGTCCCCCCCCTCTATGCATTCTGGAATGGGGGATTGTATGTTCGTGCCAGCCTGGCACAATAAGGCTTTGTAAGAGCTTAAGCTAGTCCTTGGTCGGACCTTTCTTCAACAAATGCTGCAGCCCTGACCATGCAGGTTTCGGATGCTACACTGCAAATGCTCCTGTCGCATCTAGAAGCAAGCTTCTGTCTTGTCCTAGCCGGAGATGTGGTTGCACGCTAAAATGCGAGCTGAAATTAGTTCCATCGCTGAGCGGGTAAAAATTATGCACCCAATTCGGACGGGGCACGCTCAAGCACGTTTCAAGTCCAATGGCCAATGAAGGAAAACAACAGCGCTTGGACACGTGATGAGTGATGAGCGTATTTGGCCAAGGGTAGGTCGCACTGGATCGGGGATATCGGGGCTTGGGCCCCAAATAGTCCACTTAAACCAAGCGCGCACGATCATGTGTGACGGACACGCTTGGGCCGGAAGCCGCACAGCGAAGGCAAAGCCCCGCTAACCGGTCCGGTCTCACTGGTGTGGTGGATCTTGCCACACGCGCTGACTCTACGGTCTGTGAATCAGCCACATCCTCGAGAAGCTTGACAAAACGTCAAAAAATCCACACAAAAGCTAGCTCTAGTATCCTACTAGAGCTCTACACTTGTTGGCATGTGAGAGCCCTTTGTGCTGCTACACTTGCTCTCCTTGGACCTTGGCACAGGATGGGTTAAGCCGAGAACGTAGCCCTGCAGCAGTTTCCTGGCATAGGGACTTTTACGAGCCTCCGCTTGTAGTTCTTCTTGTACCTCATCTGGCCGACGGTTCTGCAAAAGCTGCTCTATTCTGGCCTTCAGCTTCTCCCTCAATGGCTTCCGAGGTCGCTGTACCGCCTGACGCTCTTCCCAAGGATGGTGGCAGTATTTGCAGGCATCGCCGTCCTTGCAGCCCAATGACGAGCAATAGAAAATGCACGGATCACAGGAGCCGGAGCCATTCGGATGTTCCCCACTCCCCTTGCACGGCGTCTCCCCGGCAGAGCCTCAGTGACACAGCGCACCAACGAACAACCAAGGCAAATTTGAGTGGAGTATGCTGCACGTTGGCTTTTCAACTTCCTCTTGCAAATCGTCCCGTGCCCCTGCTGTGCTCAGGTTGGTCAAACCTCGGGCTTGCGACTGCTTTTGCCTTCTGTCGGCAGCTAGGTGGGCCCTTGGATGCCTTCAGCTAGGAGGAACCATGGACACTTGCCACTGGATGTCAAAAAATCACAGGACCTGGGCATGCCTCAGTTGCTGCCAAGCTGCCGTCGTTTCCGCTGTTGTCCGTACTCGGATCCTCCAGCAACTGTTGTTGCAGGGTGTGTTGCACAGTTCGAAACGCGGAGGAAGAAGAACCTTAGTAGCTTTTGTGCGCAACCGCCAAAACGTTGCCCCCATTTGCCACCACGTGATTTGCACCTCCAAACAATTGACCCCACTAGCAAAACTGTCGGCCTGCCACTGCTGCAGACTTCCAATTTCGGCTGCGTAAGGAACAACAAACAGCTCCTTCTCTTCCTCTTCCTCTTTCTTTGCCCTTTTCCTTTCTGTTTCTCCCTCTCCCTTTCTGCCTTATCTTTATCTTCTCCTTTTGTCTTTTCTCCGTCTCTTCTTTTCCGTGTATTCCTCGTTCTTTGTCTCTTGTTCTGTCTCTTTCCCTTTCTCCTTCTTTATCGTTACTTGATTTATCTTTCCTTGTTCTTTCTCTTTTTCTTCTCTATCTCTCTTTCTCTACCTCTCCTCTTCCTCCTTCTCCTCTCTCTTGCTCTTCTCCTCTCTCTTTCTCTCCCTCTCTCTTTCTCTCTAGCTCTCTGCCTCCTCCTTTCTTTTCTCTTCCTCTTGTTCTTATCTGTCTCTTGCTCTGGCGTTTGTCTTTCTCTTGTCTCTTCTCTCTTTCTCTCTTTAGTTCCGCCTCTTCTTCTTCGTCCCTTATATTGCCATCTATCTTTCTCCTTTTCCTTCGCTTTCTCTTCCTCTTTGTCTTCCCTTTTCCACTTCCCTTTCTCTTGCTCTGCCTTTTTTATTGCTGTTTGCTCCTTATCTTCCTCTTTCCCTTCTTCTTTCACTTCCTCTTTCTGACTTGCTTTCTCTTGCCCTCCTCTTTCAAAAGAACATATCAAAAGACACTGAGTTTTCGAGGTTGACCCCCGAAAGTCCGCAGCCCAAAACCAATGAGTTGTTCAAGGTCAACCGATGAGTTTTGAAAACAAACGGCCAAGCGCGTCCGGGCAATGTGCGCTTTCTCTCGTCTCGCTCTCTCTCTCTCTCTCTCTCTCTTTTCTGCCCCTCTCTCTTTTTTCTTTCCCTCTCTGTCTCTCTCTCGCGTTTCCTGATTCTTCTTCTTCTTCTTACTCATCTCCTTTCTGCTTCTATTTCTCAGTCTCTTGCCTTTCCCCTTTCTCTTTGTCCGTCTTTGTCTTTCTCTTCCTCTTTCCATTTCTCGAGCTTTTTTATCTCTCTCGCTCTGTCTCTCGCCCTCTCCACCGAAATGGCAAACCCTGAGTTTCCGAAGGTCACCCCCCGAAGCCTGCAAAGCATTCCGCAAGCAAAGTGGAAAACCAACGCGTTGCTAAAGGCCAACAATGCCAACCCCCGAAAGGGCGCGCGGCCGTGCCAATGATCCCGTCTCCGCACTTGTTTTCTGTGAGGCATCGCGGCCAAAGTGGTTTGCGCACAATTGACAAAGCCGAATTCATTTAGTTCCAGCACTGCAGCTAATTAATTTATTTGAATAAATATAGTGTTCAAAGAATTCAAAAGCAGGGGGAAGGTGAATTCATTTAGGCCAAGCACAATCTTCCACGCAACTGTATTTGGTGCC